TTGGCACTTTTTTTTTTTTTTTTAGATTTTGTTTATTTGACAGAGAGAGACACAGCAAGAGAGGGAACAACACAAGCAGGGGGAGTGGGAGAGGGAGAAGCAGGCTTCCCGAGGAGCAGGGAGCCCGATGTGGGGCTCGATCCCAGGACCCTGGGATCATGACCTGAGCTGAAGGCAGACGCTTAACGACTGAGCCACCCAGGTGCCCCAGCACACTTTCTTTTAATACCTTTATCACCTAAAAAAAAAAAAAAAAAGGGCCTTTAGTCCTTTATTCCAAATTAAGTCTGCCCTTTCCCTATGCATTTGAACATAGCCTCCATCGTGTACTAAATTCTCATTTTTACATGTCTGCTGCTGGATACTCTTTTTTTTTTTAAATTTATTTCCTATTCTATCATAGGAAATATTATAGAGCCAATTTCTATTATAGTTTTACTGTTTCTAATTGATTTTTTACTGATATATACAAAATCTATTTTGTGTTTGGTTTCATTTTGTTTTTTAAAGATTTATTCATTTGTTTTAGAGAGTGAGAGGGGGAAGGGGCAGAGGGAGAGAGAAACTCAAACAGACTCCTCACTGAGCACAACATGGGGCTCGATCTCATAACCCCGATCTCATGACCTGAGCCAAAACCAAGAGTCAGATGCTTAATCAACTGAGCCACCCAGACACCCCAAACATCTATTTTGTGTTTTGATATTTTGTCTGGTCATGTTACTGAATTCTCTTAATACTCGTAAAACGTTATCAGTTGATTCTGTTGGAATTTCTTGGTAGACAACCATATTATATATGTAAAAGAGTTTTGTTCTTTCCTTCCTTATCTTTACATAGTCTATTTTTTTTTTTTTTTTGTCTCATTGCCTTTTCTTGGCCTTCCAACATAATGCAGAGTAATAGTTAAGACTGGAGGATAATCTCAGGGCTGATGTATACAATTGTAGGAGTTGTGCACTGCACAATTCTAGTGATACCATTCATAAACCCTTCGATGTTTAGGTATTTTTTATCATGTTTCTGTTTTAAAGATTTTATTTATTTATTTGAGAGAGAGGAAGAGAGAGAGAATGAGCTGGGGAGGAGCAGAGGGAGAGGGACAAGCAGATTCTGCACTGAGCACAGAGCCAGATGCGGGGCTCAGTCCCACAACCTATGAAATTATGACCTGAGCAGAAATCAAGGGCTGGACGCTTAACTGACTGAGCCACCCAGGCTCCCCAGTGTTTCTGATTTTAATTCATTATTATTTCATGCTGTGAACTCCTATTTCTTGGAGACTTCTCTGTAGGACTCTTCGACAGAGGAGTGTGTGTGGGACTCTTCTTACATATAGGGGCCTTCTAAGTGCTAGGATTTGAAGGGGACTGGGAAGAGTTCCCTGCCACCCAACACCTGCTTATCTACCTGCCATATCTCCTAAACTTCTGTGAAACACTGAAATAGCAATATCCAAATGAAAATTAAGATAAAGAGACACATCCAAATTTCTCATGTAAAGTCTGAAACAGCTCTCCTGAATCTGTATGAATTCCAAAGAGTCACACTCTGAACCCTAGGCAGTAGGAACACTGCAAACGCATGGAAGAGACAGGCAGTTGACTCAGAGGTCATCATGCTCTGTTAAATATTGGAAGATGGTACAGGGTGTACTTTTGACTTGGGCTGACACCAGCTCTCAACCCTGATCTGCATCTAGGAACAAATTTTCTGACCCCTTGGATCTGATGACTGCATCCCAGGACGCACAAAGGCCAAATTGCATTTATAGCCACCTGAAGATAGCAGCTGACTTCTCCCTTGAATTTATGCAATGTGACATTTCCTGAGTTTCCTCCGGGTGCCTGTCCCATGCTAGGGCCAAGGAAGGGGGGCACTTTTGTTCACAATATTTGATCTATTTAAAAAAAATTTTAAATATATGATCTCATTTTATCTCTGTGACTTTTGTGACAAAAAATGCAACTTACACAGTATGTAGTGTATCTATTTGCCCTATAGGAAGAATCAGACTCAAGGGGAAAGTTCCATCACTTGTTGCCTTTGTGACCTTGGGCACATAGCCCCAGTGTCTCCAGTCGTAAAGGGGATAATAAGACTCGGCTGGCCCTGCTCAACCGCAGAGAGGCTCTTCTCTGCTGACCTCACAGGTCCCCCTGCATGAAATGATGAGTTGGCAATCACTTCATAAATAATAAAACCTGCATCATGAGTTAATAAAATTTGCCAACCTTCTCCCTTCATTGAACAAAGCCAATAGTTTATAAGCTTCACTGTCAACTTCTTAGAAACTCAATTCTCTTTTTTTTTTTTTGAGGGAGAGCAAGGGAGAGCGAGGGGAGCATAAGCAGGGAGAGCGGCCCGCAGAGGGAGAGGAAGAAGCAGGCTTCCCGCTGAGCGGGGCTCGATCCCAGAACCTGGGATCATGACCCGAGCTGAAGGCAGACACCTAACCGACTGAGCCACCCAGGCATCCCAGAAACTCAATTCTTACATAATTTCCCTTTACCTGCTTTTTTCCCCCTCTTTACCCTCTGGTCAGTTCTGACATATATCCACACACTTCACACACACACACACACACACAAATTGCACATACATTTCTGATTTTATACACTTAAGTGTGTAGATACATACATGTATCTACATATAAAACATATGTATATTATACTCCTACTGTCTACAGTAGTTTCTAGCCCTAAAATGATGAGTTTTCTTTCATTTTCCCCTCCACTTAGACTCCTTGCTGCTTCAACTCCAAGTTGCCTACTCTTGCCTCCCCATAATTTTGGTGACCCGGCTTCGAAGCTTTTTGATTTGACTCATTTGAAGATTAAATGTATATTCATCTCCTCCCCACGCCCTTTTCCTGGGAAGGAGCTATCTCACCCCCAAGCGCATATCGACTTTAAACAATTTACCCGGCCGAGTTATTTCGCATGTGTGTTTGATTACTTCCTCTATTTTCAAGAACGCTAAAATGTTTGAATTGCCGTACCCTCGGCCTGCCGCTCAGTCATCTTCTCCATCGTGTCCCTTTTGTGCACAGCCGATTTTCGGTCTGGGTTAGCTGGATTTCTTAGGTCCTTGCCGTTCCAAGTGTGGAGGTGGACCAGCAGCGCCAGCAGCATCCGGAACCCACCCCAGACCCAGGGGTTGGAACGTGCATTTAACAAGCTCCCCAGGTGATCTGTTTGCACGTTAACGTTGGAGAATCCCGATCTTAGATTATAAACACGTGCTCTGGGTTATTTGGTGCGGATTCTGAAGCAGACAGCGATCTTAGCTGTTACAGGGATTCCAGTGTAGTTTGGAAGCTAAGGTCTGCCAAGCTCCAATGCAGCTTGATCGTGACCTGGTTATCTTTTTATTCCTTACTGTAGTGCTTTGAACTACTGTTCCTCCTCTTTCCTCTGCTTCTTTAACTACTTTCCTCCAGCTTCTCCTGCCTTCTGCTTCCTCGCAGCCCTGCCTGGCTCCCGGGGGCTTCCTTCTCTTTGGGCATTAGGGCTGCCCAGGCAAGGTGGGACTGAGATATCTGGCCACTCACTTCAGGCTAATATATTGGCTTCCCTTTTAATATTCTTTAAATATCTGACTAACATTTATTTAGTGAAAGTGATGGTATTTTTTTAAATTATAGTAAAATACATGTAACATAAAATTTACCATCTTAGCCATTTTTAAATGTAGGGTTCAGTAACATTTAGACTATTGTGCAACTGATCTCCAGACCTTTTTCATCTTGTAAAACTGAAACTCTACCCATTAAACAACAACTCCTTATTCCTCTCTTGCCCCAGGCCCTGGCAACCATTCTCCTACTTTTTTAAACTTTATTGAGGAATAATTGCAAATATAATTGTATATATTTAAAATGTACGATGTGGGGCACCTGGGTGGCTCAGTTGGTTAAGTGTCTGCCTTCGGCTCAGGTCATGATCTCGGGGTCCTGGGATCGAGCCCCGCATTGGGCTTTCTGCTCAGTGGGGAGTCTGCTTCTCCCTCTCCCTTTCTCTCTCTCAAGTAGATAAATAAAACCTAAAAAAAAAGTACAATGTGATGATTTGATAGACATATATATTTTAGAATGATTACCAACGTTAAAATAACTCATCCATCACCCCACACAGTAGACATAGTTAACTCTGTGTGTGTGTAATTTCTACTCCCAGCAACTTTCAAATAAACAGTACTATATTATTAGCTAATTAACTATGTTAGCAATACTGTATTATTGCCTATAATGACTGTACATTGCCACCATTCGTCTGTGTTTCTATGAGTTTAACTACAACTACAGTCAAATGGTACTTGTCCTTTTGTGATGGGCTTCTTTCATTAGCATAATGTCCTCAAGGTTCATCCGTGTTGTAGCATGTGCCAGAATTTCCTTCCTTGTCAAGGCTGATAATATTGCACTGTATGTGTCTACCCTTTATCTGCTGATGGCCGTTTTGGTTGCTTCCATCTTCTGGTTGTTGTGAATAATGCTGCTGTGAACATGGGTGTGCAAATAGCTCTTCAAGACCCTGCTTTCAATCCAGAAGTAGAATTGCTGGATCATATGGTCCTACGTTTAATTTTTTGAGGACCCACCACCCTGTTTTCCACAGTGGTTGTGCCATTTTGCCTTCCCACCTGCAGTGCATGAGGGTTCCCTTTCCTCCACATCCTCATCAGCACTTGCTATTTTCCATTTCTGTTACAGCAGCCCCCCAGTGGGTGTAAAGTGAGGTCTCATTGCATTTCCCTAATGATTAGTGATGTTGAGCATCTTTTCATGTATTTATTGGCAAGTGATGCTTTTTTTAATGCAAAATGTGTATCGTGTCCTTCATGGTCAATATAAATAATTTATTCTGCACCATTTTCCAAGCCAGACAACTTCTTAGAAGGCATGTTTAAGTGTTTAGATAATAAAATAGTCTACTCATCCCCTACAGACAGCCCTACGCCACAGAGTATTCTGTTTCTGGCTCTGTCAATTTTTGCAGGTTACTCAGGGTTTTCAGAGGCTTACCCTCAGGTGCCTGGCTGGAGTGGCCCAGGGTGACAGGCATATGAGTGCCCCTGGTTACTCCACAGAGACTCGTCTACACTGTCAAGGAGTGTAGGAAAGGAAACAATTTATGGTTTACTTTGTTTCTGAGTTATTCCAGCAATGTTTTGATACCCTTTGAATATGGTGGCCCCCTAGGCAGCAGCTCAGCCCACCAGCCCTTTAAGTTGTCTCTGTCTGTGTATCTGACGTTCAATGTCACTAGGAGAGGATCTTAATGGGTCGGTGGATGACTTGTCCCTCGGAGAGAGCAGTCACACCATCCCTCACAGGCCCCCAGAACCTGGTCTAACCAGGAGCCCCTGAGGGCGGCCGTGGGTGGGATAGGCCTGCTGAGCATCCTCTTCCTGCAAGGTCAGGCTGGGTGAATTTGTGAGTCCCCTTCATGAGGACAGAGATGGGAGGCTGTGAATACTTGTCTGCCGGGCCATTTCTTCTCATGTAATTGTCTCACAAATGTTGGCATTTTATCTGACACATCCTGTCTTCTGATGTGAGGGGACAGGGGAGGGAGTAATGCTTTTTTCTATCAAAAGCTTTCCTTGATCTCTGTGCTTAAAAAAAAAGGTTATTTGATGATGGGTCTCCTTTCAAAACCCCAGGTCTGACTGTAACTCCCACCTTGCTGCCGACCCCTTCTGTCCTAGCCAAAGCCCACTCTTCCCCCTTCACTGTTGCCAGACAGAAAAAGAAGCCTCAGTCCTTGTCACTGAAGAAGATTAAAGAGTTAACAGTGTAGAGAGAGGCAGGACAGGGTCGACTGCAGGCCGGGCAGTCCAGCTCTACCTGATCAGTGGAAGGGGCTTCTTTGAAGATTTCCTTTTGCCATGTTTGTCAAGGCGTTTGGGCCTGACATTGGCATCGGGCTCCCACACAGAGAGAGTGAGCAGTAAAGGCTCTGTCGGCCGGTCTGAGACGTGATCTCTCCTTGAGACTCCAGCAGTTTGTGTCCCTTTGTTGACAGGTTCAACGGAACCAGAGCAGGGATTGATTTTAGCCACTGAAGCTTATGCCTCTGGGGGCCCCTTCCGTACATGGGTTCCATCCCACAGTTGTTACATGCTTTTGTAACATGTTCAAAAGTAAGATATTTAAGCATGGTTGTTTTAGACCGTTTCTACTCTATTGTCCTATTTTCCCTGACGTCAGGTGTTGATGGAATGGCCACGGGCTCACTGGAGATTGAGTTGGGGATACATGTACTTTGGGTAGACGCATATGGTGGCAATTACTTGCGTGTGGGGTTGAGTTACTGCTAACCACCCAGTGTAGCAACGGGTCCGAGGAATGCCCCACTCTGCTGCTCGTCCACCACCGTTGCAGGGGCCCAGCACAGGCTGAAGGAGGGGAATGAGTTTTGAAATGTGTGGAGCCAAGAACCTAGACTGTGGAAAATTCTTCCAAATATGAAGTCTTATACGAAAGAATCTTAGTAGAGGTTTTCTTATGTTTGACAACAATCCTCAGCTGGATGTGAAGATGCAAATGTTCCCATTATCGTAATAAAAAGCAAATTTTGGTCAATGATACTAGAGGAAAAACTTTATTATCTTCTGATTCTTTATATAAAAAATGACATTACAAGATCATTGTTATATGAGGGGAATGATTTGTTTTCTATTGCTGCTGCAATATCACCACAAACTTGGTGGCTTAATACAAAATTTATTATCTTATAGTTCTAGATGTCAGAGGTCCAAAGTCAGTATCACTGGGGTGAAACCAAGACGTTGTCAGGCTGGTGCCTTCTGGAAGGTCTAGGGGAGAATCTGTTTCCTGCCTTTTCCAGCTTCTAGAGACTGCCTGGAATCCTAGGTTCATGGCCTCTTCCTCCATCTTCAAAACCAGCAGTGTAGCATCTGACCAATTTTCCATTATCACATCTCTTTCTCTGACCAGACCCAGGGAAGTTTCTCTGATTTTCAAGGTCTGTTTCCTCAATCACATCTGTAAAGACACTTTTGCCTTATAAGGAAACGCATTTACATGTTCTAGGGATTAGGATGTGTTGGGGGCCATTATTCTGTCTCCCACAAAGGACAATATTAACTGTAATTTATTGTGATTTCTTTTCTCAATCTTTCTCACAAATACATCTTCTCTTTAGTACCTAATTCTGTATTTGCCATGTGCATTCTTTTTCTTGAAGAAGACCCCCCCAGTGGTATAAGCTTCAGACCTCACATGAGCTGACTCATGGCACCTCTACTTGCCCATTGACCAAGTCGAGAACTTCAAATTTCCCCCACACTAGCTGGGCAGAGTCTGCTGCGGTGGTTCTGCTCACTGGCCGGCAAGGGAGCCGGGGAAGAGCTGAAGAGGAGAGTGCCTGTGTCTCACGCGGTGGCCCCAGAGAATCACCGAGCAAAGTGCAGCATGCCCACGTGCTGTAAGGGATGCTCTGATGAACGCCAAGCTCTGTGGGTGGACGCTGGGGGGGAAGGTAGAAGAGCCCATGAACCAGTGCACTGGGAGCTCAGTAAATGTCCTGCTTTGGCAACTGCCACGATGCTTTTTGGTTCAGCCAGTCTGCTCTTTCTGCCTTGTGGCTCCAGGGCGAGCATGTCCAGTTTCTCTCTGGGATTCTTTTCTGGCCCCAGGATTAACTGAAGTCTCTCTTCTCTCCTGCTGCCTTATGAAAAACATCCATGATCGGAGTCTCCCTTTGGGCATTTACTCTGCCCTCTCCGTGTCTTCCTGCCGCCCCCCACCTCGCCACCTGTGCCACTGGTCACTTGGGTCCCTGAACTTCCTTCCCTCTGCTCTTGACTCTTCCTCAACGACAACCCCCACTCTCACTTCCTTCGTGTGTCTCTTTCCCAAATCTACCTCAGCACCCAGGAGAGGGTTTCTTTCCTGCTCATCTTTCCCATTCTAGCATGTTCCTCTTCCTGCTCTGGTGAGGATTTTCTCCTCCACCTCCAGACATCTCTGCTAAACTTGGCAACCCAACAGGCAACATCATGGGCCTTCTACTGGGCATCTCCTTCTTCCCTGCACACAAAGACAGCCGCTCTCCGTGTCTATACCCGCTGTCTAGCCTGGATGTACCCATAGCATGGCTCACCGTGTCTCGCACACAGTCTCTCGATAGCTGGCCCCAAGGGTCCCTAGTGGATGGCTTCCCACCCCTCCTTCTGCCCCGAAGTAGACTCTCTCCCCAGCACCTCCCTTTCACACATTCCTTCTACAGGGGAGGAGTGTGAATATTCACACACTTCTCTGATTTTCTTGGTCTTTTGTCATGATCAGCCATCTACCCCATACCGTCCGGGTTGTGTAAACTCATGCCTAGTGCGCTGCCTCTCACAGCTCAGTCCCCCTTGATCAGCAGATGCCAGGTCTATGGACAGGGTCTCATTTGGCCTCATTTTGGAGTCTGAAGCTGCTCAACCAGGACCGTGCAGGGTGAGCCTCCTGTAACCACTGTCCTCCAAGGTCAAAGCCCACCCAGGGACCATGCAGTTCTCATCCTCCAATGCTACCTCTGCAGTCCTCCTCCGGCCCCACTTGGGGATCCTTTCCTTCCATAGGAGAAACTGAACTCCACGTTTCTTCTAGAATTTCCCTCCATTATCACCCTGGGATGCACCACTCTCCTTCCTTTCTTTCTCCCCAAGTTCAGACCTGTCCTTCCTGTAGGGCACGTTCTCCAGCATGCTCAGATTACCAAGCCCGGTGAGGAATAGGTGCAACCCTCAGAGCAAGCCCAGCTGGATTCAGTTGAAACTGCGTGTATAATTAGTCTTACTAAATTCACATGAACAAGAGATATGGCTGGCACATAACGGTCACCCAGGCACTGTCATTTTCCTGTCCACAGGGCACCATGCTGGAAGGACTGATGCAAGGGGGAAGTAGGGTCAGAATTGCAGGCATCAGCTGATACCCCCATCCACCCCAGGTCAGATCTATTTCTAACAGAACTCTAGGGGTTCTGTTTCCATTATCTCTTGCCATGTAACAAACCTTACCGGATTAAACAAAATTTACCGGATTAAACCAGCCACCATTTTATTTTCTGCCATGATTCTGTGTTGACAGAGCTCAGCTAGGAGTCCTGCTCCATGGCATCAGCTGGTTGCTTAGCTGGGCTGGGACGTCCACGAGAGCTTGCTCACTTGTCTGGAGCTTGGTGGGGAGGGCTGGAAGGCCAGGGCAAATGGGCCTCTCTCATCTTGTCATGTCAGGGCTTTCCCTCTTCACATGGCCTCTCTGCATGGTCCCTTTGGGTGGTAACCCTAGCAGCATAGCTAAACTTTCTCACGTGGTGGGTTAGGGCTCCCCCAAAGGGCAGAAGCAGAAGCTACCAGGCCTTCTTGTGGCTTCGCCCACAACTGGCACAGTGTCGTTTCCCCACAATTCTGTTGGTTAAAGCAAGTCACAGGCCACCCCAGATTCTTCGTGCAAGAGGACTGCACTAGGGTGCTGACCCCAGGAGGTGTGGTTTGTTGGGAACCAACTTCGGAGCAAAGCCATCATGGGTTCTCTTAACTGGGGCTTCATAAAGATGGAAGAGAATGAACTACAGAATGTACCAGATCTGTTTATTTAACAGTAAATTCAGGCAAAACAAAGTAAAAGTTACACAAATGCTATGAAGTGAGACTCTGGCATTAATCCTAATACCTCCTCATTACAGAGTTGGAGAATGTTATCAGTCAGACACAGTGTAAGTAAATGTTTCCTCCCCTTTGTCCCTTAGCAGACAATTCTTTGCATGTCTTAATTTTGCTGTAAGTTGTTTTTGCTGGCTCTTGCTCATGGTGCCATGTTAGTGTTTGATTCCTGATTTGGGAGGTTTTGCTCATATTTCTTGAAAATTATTTGTGTGATTCTTTGTGCCTCAGTGGAAAGTGGTCCCCTAGAGAGGAGGAGTGTGTCTGCTTCTGTGGGTGTCCAGGAGCACTGCCCACCCAAGATTTCTTTAAATCAAACCCTTAGCTTCAGGTTTTTGGGAGCACTCTAAGTATACATTTTGTCTGCAAGCCCATATGAGGTCAGGATCGTGATTTGAAAAACCAGGGGGGATTCCCCCTACACCTGTTCAGTTCAAGTTTCCCATCAGCCTATTTTATATGCAGTTTTCTGGAAGCAGGGTTGCAGGACAGATTAATTTTTACAGGCGGACTGTTTGCTTTCATCTATCATGCTGCTGGAAATAGAAACCTTTGTGTTGAAATTTTACTACAAGTTTTATTTGGGGTTAAGAAAAGGCAACATCATCTGTGGTGTGGTGGCCCTGGACAATCAGTGCCCAGAGAGGCTTTTGGGGGGCGTCATGAACAGGACAGCTCCCCATTTCTGCTCACCCTCCTCTGTGCTCATTCCAAGTATAGAATTCAAGGCACACTCTCAAGGTGAACGTTCCCTGGGGCGAGCATCTCAACCACAAGTCTACTAATGGGTACAAGTTCTTTGAGTACTCACTTATGCCCCGGCTTGACTGGGATGTGGGCCACTGTCTTCCTGCATTCTGGGAGCCTGGTTCCTCTCTGTCTTGCTCCCCATTTGCTTGGTTACTCAGTTGAAAACCACCTTTCTGCCCCGCCTTTTCAGCTTTCTCTGGGAACTCGGGCCACCACATGCCTGAGAGGCTGTCTCCCCTGGGTCTCCTCAGTCCCAGAACCATATCCAACAAGTGGCCTGTCCCCTGGGCCTCTGACCAGGTCATGGGCTCCTAATCTCAGTCCATTCAAGAATTGCTTCTGTGACCCCACCCAGGTAGCCTTTTCTTTTTCCTTCTCATTTCTTTCTCGGAATCTTCTCTTGCCGTGTTCTTGTTCACATGCTTTCCTGCAGGGCCCTATTATTGCGTGCACACCTCCACCGTGACAGCTCTCCTGATAACGAGTGCTAACCCCACCCCCAGTTCTCCCATGGTTCAGCTCTTGGGTCCGCAGAATCAGATGTGAGCGGCACACAGGGAGGACTGTCTCAGCACATCTCTGTCGGGCCCCTTCATTCCCTGTGGTTTTTTCACTTCTAGCCCAAGAGGCCTGGAAGCCAACCTGGAGGCGAGACCTGGAGAAAGCTGGAACCATGCTGACCTTGTGTCCTATGAAGCAAATGCAGCTCCTGGGAAGCCTGCCGTTAGTGCAGATGAGGGAGATGGGGGTCCCCAAATCTGCCGTGTATGCGGGGATAAGGCGACTGGTTACCACTTCAATGTCATGACATGTGAAGGATGCAAGGGCTTTTTCAGGTAGGGTTACCAGCCAGCCATCACCCACCTGTCACCCTGACACACTGGGTCACTTCTAAGTGGGGTTCTGCCACTAGCTCGCTGGGCCCTGCTTTAGGGCCTCAGCTTGACCTATCCCGGGTTCAGAGTATGGGGCAGTGGCCGATTCAAAAGCCTCCTACTGTTTCAGGAGAGTCATGAATATCTCAGAGGATTTTTTCATCTTCCATCTTCCTATCTTACCTGGGAAAGGGCCCCTTCCATTAAGATATCCCTTTTGTTTCTCCATGTGTTCTTTTTTTTTTTTTTTTAAAGATTTTATTTATTTATTTGAGAGAGAGAGAGCACATGAGAGGGGGGAGGATCAGAGGGAGAAGCAGACCCCCTGCTGAGCAAGGAGCCCGACATGGGACTCGATCCCGGGACTCCAGGATCATGACCTGAGCCGAAGGCAGTCGCCCAACCAACTGAGCCACCCAGGCGCCCTCTCCATGTGTTCTTGAATAAAATGGAAAGCACTTCATAAAAGAAGAAAGAATCTGAAAAGCCAAAACAGTGCTCAAATCAGCTGTAGGGAGCGGTAAGCAAAGAATGTCCTAAAATAAAAGAAGAATAGGACAAAACAGTCTCATCTAGAAACAGGCAAACGGGGAGGTCAGAAACTTAAGGGCTGAAAAGTACCAGCTCACAGCAAGACAGGCCTGCACAGAAGGGTTCACACTGTCCCAATGAAGAAGAGTAAAGCCCAAAGCCCAAAGCGGGGCTCAGATCAAGAGGAAGAGAAGCCGGCCAGGAAAGGCGGGAAGCAGAGAAAGAACGTGTGAGGAGTTGGCCGTCTGCCCTCAGGGAGGGCCGGGTAGGCGGAGAGCAGCTCCCACCTCGGGGCCCACTTGGGACCCTCACGAGCTCCCAGGACAGCCAACCTGACGTGGCCGTCTGCAGAGTTCTTCTTGGTGGCCGGACATGGACTGGACATGGCTCCCAGAGCCAGGACCCACCCTACCATCCCTAAGATGGGCTGCCAGTCAGCATGCTGTGGTTGCGGGGGGGGGGGGGCGGGGGACCCCCAGGGAGGCGCTGCGGTAGCTGCGCGTCGCCCAAGCCAAGAGGCCCCGGCTTTGGGAGCTGCTCTCAGGTCCCACGGGGTTTGGGGGCCTGGCGCAGGCCCAGAAGCAACCACATCGGCAGCCACGTTCCAGCAAGAGATGAACATGTGGGTTGTGCGGAGTACAACAGGGTCCAGACGGCAGCGTAGCTCGGCGCCCCCCGGCCTACGAAGCCCGGGTGTTCCCCGGACCTGCCTTTCGCTCTTTGTTCTCTCGCAGGAGAGCCATGAAACGCAACACCCGGCTGAGGTGCCCCTTCCGGAAGGGCACCTGCGAAATCACCCGCAAGACCCGGCGCCAGTGCCAGGCCTGCCGCCTCCGCAAGTGCCTGGAGAGTGGCATGAAGAAGGAGAGCGAGCAGCGGGACGTGCCCTGGGCGGGCGCGGGCGCGGCCTGGGGCGCATGCGCTCCGTGAGCCTGGGACAGGTGTGCGGGGGGAGGGGGGACAAGTGGGAAGGAAGCGTGGGGATGTGTATGCGCACGTGTGCAGACACGCACCGTGGGTGTGCACATGCGTGTGGCCTGTGTGCAACAGGCAGACTCAGGGCGGAGAGCTTGTGGGCCACCTGCCCGCACCACCACCACGGGGCGATCCTGGAGGGACTGGACAGATGCACTCACTGCATCTTTGTTCTCTGCCCTGGGAGGTGTGGTGGGCATCTCATGCTCCTTTTTCCTCTCAGGTGCCCCTGCGTGATTCTTTTTGTCGCCTTCATAATTGTCCTCATGGTGGTCTAGCCAAATTGGGCGAGGTGAATTGGGGAGAAGGAAGCCAGAGACATCTTACAGCAGCTAGTGCCCATCAGCCACCCAAACCTGGTGTCCTACAGAGGAACCATTGCAGACAGGTGACATAGGGTGATCTCATTCTACCCGTGAAGCTTTGGTGTACAAATGTGCTCCCAGGTCACTCTGAGATTAAAGCTGATGGGGAAAATGCAGGAAGCTTCCGGTGCATATTTGTCTCCACTGATCACAGAGTGGGCAGCCTCTTTCAGGGGACCAGTTCCCTGGGCATGTGGACAGGTCCTCACCTGGCTGTCCCTGCTGTTCCTCACACCAACCCCCACCTCTTCGCTCTGCCATGTGAGCGGGCTCCAGAAATCCATGGAAGGCCCTAAGGCTCCAGGCTAGACAGGAAGTGGCTGGAGTTGATATTTCTTGCTAAGCAGTAGCCCCAGCTCTCTAGGGTCTTGGAGACCCAGATGCCTCGGCGGGACTCTGAGGAGTCTGCCTGGTATCTAATCCACCAAAGAAGACTACTGTCAGGTGCCACTGATGGCCCACTTACCATGTGCCAGGAGCTCTGCGAGGCACTTTGCACGCCATGCCTAATTGTGGCAGCAGCGTGAAGGGGGCACTGTCGCTCCCAATTATGAAGAAGGAAACTGAAGCCCGGAGAGGTTAAGGAACTTGCTCAAGGTCACCACTAGTGAGTGGCAAAGCTGTCACTCAAACCCAGCACCTTTTGATTCTGCAGCTCGAGCTCTTCCCACGGTTCCACAAAGTTGTCGCAAACCCACTGCCTCAGGCAGCACACCAGCTGCATCTCGTTCTCTGTGCTTAACCCAGGGTTTCTCCAGGGGAGCCCACGGTCTAGGACAGGGTGGGTTTTTTGTCACCAGCACTTCCCCTGCCTGCTGCCTGGGGAGGGTCACCAAGGGCAGCCAAGCTCCTGCAGGTGCCTGAGCCTGTTCCTGGTTATCCCCGCAGTGATCATGTCGGACGCGGCTGTGGAGCAGAGGTGGGCTTTGATCAGGACGAAGAAGAGAGAACGGATGGGCACTCAGCCCCTGGGAACCAAGGGGCTGACTGAGGAGCAGCAGACGATGATCAGAGAGCTGATGGATGCTCAGATGAAAACCTTCGACACCACCTTCTCCAATTTCAAGAATTTCCGGGTATGAGGCTTTCTCAAGTTGGCTCAGCCATTATGCTAGCTCCTCAAAACCCCAGTCCCATTCCCAGGGGTTCTCAAAGAACCCCGAGGTGATCCTGACACAGGTTTGAGAATCTCTGTTCTCTCCTTCCACGGCAGGTAGCAAGTGGGGCTGAGCCAGAAACAGTTTTGGCAGCTGAGTTGCTCCAGGGTGGTTGGCCTTTGGGGCTTTATGAGGACAGGGTCAGGACCTGTTGGGGGTCTGGCGTTTGTGAACGGGTTTTACAGATCTAAGACACATTTGTGATCTCAGCAACGTGAGCCGTGTCTGATCCTGGTGCTCTCTTCCTGCTCTGTGCTCACAGGCATCTCAGGTGGCCGGCTCCACTCAGAGAGCTGGCAGCCAGTGACCCCAGGAGTCTGTTCTTTCCATCTGTGCCTCCCACAACCTCCTTTTTAAGTCAGGGATGCTTGGGACGCACCCATTGGTGGAGACCCCTTACATTCCACTGGGCAGAGAGCAAGCCCATTCCTGACCAGGCAGGGATGTGAGGGAACATTGATAGACAGATCCAGAAAGCGCACCACCTGATGTGTGTGTGCACGCGCATGCATGTGCATGTGCGTGCATTTGTGTGTGTGTGCATGCCTGCATTTGCGCATCCTCTCAGGCTGCAGCCGTGGCCATGAGCCCTCCTGGGCCTGTGTAGGAACCTGTTTGGGAGAATACATGCCGTCTGTCCTGTCCTCTCTCCGCCTCCCAGCTGCCAGAAGTGCCCAGCAGTGGTCGCGAGGTTCCGGAATCTCTGCAGACTCCAGTGGGGCAAGAAGCTGCCAAGTGGAGCCAGATCAGGGCAGACCTGTGCTCGCTGAAGGTCTCTCTGCGGCTGTGCCGGGAGGACGGCAGCGTCTGGAACTACAGACCCCACGCTGACAGCAGCGGGAGAGAGATCTTTTCCCTGCTGCCCCACATGGCCGACATGTCAACCTACATGTTCAAAGGCATCATCAACTTTGCCAAAGTCATCTCCCACTTCAGGTAGGACCCAGCGGCGGGCTGGGTGGGTGTGGAGAGGAGAATGCAGTGGCCAGCAGGTTCAAAGGGTCTAGGGTGGATTCCTCTGAATTTGGGCGATACTGGTGTCGAAAGACCCTCCTTAATCTCCACCTACCCTACCCATCAGTAGGCAGAGGGCAGGTTAGATTCCAGGAGCCCCTGTGGGCCTTATTTATTGGAGGGAGGGTGGCCACGGGTCAGATGGTAGCCAGTTAGGTCAAGGGAGTAAGAGAAAGGCCTGCTTGCATGTGTGGATCTTGGCAGATCCCCACTGACATCGATGACCCGCAATGTAACATCAAGGTTGAGGTTACGTGCCATTTCTTGTGAGCACAGTCCCCCCCGGAGGTGTGCATTACTACCGCCTTCATTCTGCAAATAGAAAACAGGTTCACTGAGGTCCAGGAACTTGCACAGGGTCGCAGTTAATCAGAGGGGCCAGATTTGGAAGCAGATTGCACAGAGTTCAAAGCCAGCTACCTGCCAGGTCCTGAGCCAGGCGCTGGGAAACCTGAGAGAATAAGCTCAACTTGCTGAGATTATGGATCTAAAAGAAGGGGGTGGTGCAGAAAACAAGGCAGCGAATTTCCGAGGAAACCGACGACAGGCAGGGGGCCCCTCAAGAGCCAGCCTAAATGTCCTCCCTTCTGGGCTCCTGCTGGAAATGCCCGTCAGCGGGGAGTCGGGGCCGCTCAGCTTGGGAGGGGGGTCAGCCTAACCCTGAGTGGCAGAGGAGGCCGCTGGTCTGTAGCACCCCGTGTGGAAGCTGGCACCCCCCCATCCTTGCCGCCAGGGACTTGCCGATCGAGGACCAGATCTCCTTGCTAAAGGGGGCCACCTTTGAGCTGTGCCAGCTGAGATTCAACACGGTGTTCAATGCCGAGACGGGAACCTGGGAGTGTGGCCGGCTGTCCTACTGCCTGGAAGACCCTGCAGGTGCCCGCGAGCCGCCCGCGAGCCGCCCGCCCACCCTGGCGGAGGGGGGCAAACACACGCGTGGAGGGAGGCGAAGAGCTGCGCCAGGATGTGCGGGTCCTGGGGTTGCAGGGCAGAGACCCGGCGATGGGAAAAAAGAGCCCGGTGAGGGAAGGCTGAGAAGGTGGCCTGTCCACCCTCCACCCACCTACAGGTGGCTTCCAGCAGCTTCTCCTGGAGCCCGTGCTGAAATTCCACCACAGGCTGAAGAAGCTGCAGCTGCATAAGGAGGAGTATGTGCTGATGCAGGCCATCTCTCTTTTCTCCCCAGGTGATGACCCCACCTGTCCTGCCTGGCCACTCCTCCCCCACCCCCACCCCCCCGCTTGCTGGCACCCCCCTCAGCTATAGCCGGAGGAGGCGGCAGGCCCACCCCCGCCCTCCCCAGATGGCCTTGCCCCCGTTCACTGCGCGGCCAGGAGGGGGCCCCTGACTGGCTTCTCCTTGGGTCGGTGGGGTGAGGCACCCTCCGAGTGCTACCCTCCCTTCCCTGCCTGGGTGCTTCTGGCTCCGGGAGGCGGTTGGCTGGCCACTTGCCCTCTCTGGGCCGGGCTGCTCTTGTCTTTGCCGCCACGGCCTTGCTGCCATCACACTGCCTTCCCCTCCCCACCAGACCGCCCGGGTGTGGCGCAGCGCAGCGTGGTGGACCAGCTGCAGGAGAGATTTGCCATCGCCCTGAAGGCCTACATCGAGTGCAGTCGGCCCCAGCCTGCCCACCGGTGAGCAGCAAGCAGGGAGGGCGTGAGGGGGTCCCTCCAGAAGCCCCGTCCTCTAGCCCCCCCGCCTGTTCTGGGCCTCTCGGAGAGGGCGGACTGGAGCCGCTCCTGGGGCAGCTTCTGGCCCAGTCAGCCTGAGCTCCAGCCCAACAACGGAGAAACCGGAGGGGGGCCAGAGGCCATGCCCAGCCATGGACATTGCTCCCTGAGGCACAGCTCCTGTCTGCCCTTTTCCACTCCTGTCAGCAGGGAGGGAACAGCCAGGTATTCCCCCGAGGCTCCTACAGGCTCTTCTAGCAATAGCCAGCAGTAACTGGCATGGTAGTGAAGATAACCATGACAACAACAATGATGGTAATAATAAATTTGCATTGCGGAGTGCCGGCCCTGGTACCAAGCAGTTTACATGTAATGTCCCCTTTGATCGTGAACACAGCCCCCACGAAATGGGTGCCACGACACCCTGCGAGGGGCTGGAGGCTCAGGGCGACTGCCTCAGGGTCCCCAGCCAGAGAGGCGGGATCTGGAGGCGGCCGCGGGCGGACACGTCGGTAGCCCACCCTTCTGAGCGCAGCCTGATCACCTCCAGGAACGAGCACAAGCAGACAGGGTAGGAAACTCCTTAGTTTGTTCTGGCCACAACCAAAGGAGGAAGGCTGCTCAGGGGTTTCCGTCCCTTCACTGCCTCTCAGCAGCCCCACGGGCCCGGGCCGTGACGGGTGAAGGCCTGCACAGGGTGCGCTGGCTGCCCTTCAAGCCCCAAGTCCTTACTTGGCCCCCTTCAACTTTATTTTGAGCTCAGCCTCTGGGCCATGTCTTGATTTGCTTGGTCCTCCCCTGTGTGGAGCCAGGAGGCGTCGTGCAGAAACTAAGGCGCGAGGTTTGTCTCAGATGCTAGATCCCAGGCTAGATCCAGGAAGGATCTGCAGGGCAGCCCGTAGTCCCTGCCTCCACAGCTGCTCCGCTCGGCCCTGACCCGCAGCCATTCGCCGAGGCAGTGAATCCCCTCCACCCCCGGGACTGCCCTCTGTGCCCGGCCCCCGCAATGCCTGGATTTTCCCACGGAGGTGTCTGTGTCCGAGGACTCCAGCCCAGGGCGTGAGGGGCCAGCGAGGAGTGCAAGTCTACGCCCCAGTCCCCCCAAGCTGCTCTGCCCTTCTCATCCGCGGACTAAGAGAAGCTTAAGGAATGCGACTGAGCCTTGTCTCTTGGCTCGCCTGAGATGTTCTAAGAATAATGCCCCCAAACTTGTGCAACTTCAAAGCAGCCCCAGGGTTGGTGGATGGGGCCAAGGGTGGGCAGCACCCCCAACTTTTCCTCTGGCTGGCCTGCAGGTTCCTGTTCCTGAAGATCATGGCCATGCTCACCGAGCTCCGCAGCATCAATGCTCGGCACACCCAGAGGCTGCTGCGCATCCAGGACACACACCCCCTCGCTAGCCCCCTCATGCGGCAGTTGTTCGGCATCACAGATGGCTGAGCGGCTGCCTCCCTGGTAGAGCCTCCGAGGGGCAGCCTGAGCCAGAGCCCTGCCCTCGGAGCTGCCATTCCTGGGACTAGATAGATGGCTACTGGGGAGAGCTGGCAATGCCCTGCAGGTCCTCCCTCCCCGGGGAACTCACAACCATTCCTCAGGAAAGGGACGAGGGTCTCCCCAGAGTGAAGCATAGAGTGAAGCCATAGACACTTTGATGGAGAGCGCACTGGCCTATAGACCAGGCCCATTCAGAGGCAAGACCACCCTCCCCTTGGAAATGGCCCTGTGGTCTGAGCATCTAGTGTCATGGTGGGAGAGGGGAAGTGTCTGTGAGAGAAGCCAGAAGGCCTACAGCAAACGTCAGAGTCTTGTCATGACCTGTCTATTCTTTCTTCCTTCTGCGTCCTTCATTCTGTGTCTCTGCATCCATGCAAACACATTAGTAAGCACCAACAATATGCAGTTTGCTGTGGGGTATGCGCCGACTCAGACATAGTTCTGGACCTCCAAGACTTTAAAAGTTCAACTTAAGAAAACAAAGCAGAAACACAGAGAGCTTTGAGCCAAAGAAGTGGTAAGGGCCATAAGAAGCACAAGGAATTTCTTCCTGTGAACGCGGAGCTGTGTGGGCTTCCTGAGGGACCAAGTGAGGGATCTGTGGAACATGTGTTCGTGGGAGGAAGGGCACTAACTGGCTGTGTGCACATGTGTGTGACTTAGTGTAGGTCTGCTCCACGTCTGACCTGGGGCTTGGGTTTGCCCCCGAGGCTGGAACACTGGGGTGCTCTCTGCGACGAGGTTGTGTTGAGAGGCAGTTAATAAACATGCTAGCTATGCATGCACTCTATCTTCCTGTTTACACATCTATTTTGAAAGCTAAAGAAAATGACAATGGTTGCTTTGTTTATAGCCATTTTGAGTAAAAATGTTTTTGCCTTTGGTGCAAATTAAATTTTGACTAATATTACATAAGGCATTCTACACCTAAGGACAAGACTTAGCAAATATGTTCATGAGTTTCGTGTCAAATCAAGGCAAGAGGATTTAAATAATTAATTTTTGGCTAGAAATTTAAACCCTTTTTTGCCTTCTTTTCTGGGGAGAAAAGAAATGTGCGGGTGGGAAAATAGAAATATTATTATATAATATACATATCTATTTCTTCACTACTTGTTTTACTATTGCCCTTTACACATCTGACGGCTGTTGGTGTAAAAACAAAAATTTTAACTTGGTTTGCTCATAAAATTATCCCATATAAAAATCCATATAAAAATGATACACCCCACAATATGGTATATGTGTTGGTGTATATATATACCAAAATTAAAAATGTGGTTAGTAATTGAATTAATTTTAAATGTCTAATGTTTTGAGGCAAATGAAGCTGCAAGTTAACCGAATTTTAAGGAACAGACACTTGTTTAGCTTTTACCATTTTACAAAAAGCAGGCCAAACTTTGAGAACATAAGAAATTGTTGACATTATAAATCAAAGCAAGCAAACATATTCCTTGGCATCTCCCCAGATTTACCAGCCTCTTCTGCATTAAGGATATAGAACACACTCATTTTTAGAAAAGAAACTGAGGGGAAAAAAGAGCTCCTCTCTCCAAATACAGTGAATACAAATTTTGTTCCCAGGAATTTTGTCTCATTACACTCATTGGGAAATAGGAATTTTATTCAACTGTATTCATAAATCATATGCATCTCCTCTTCCCCATTGAAATAATTTTGAATGTGCTATTCATTCAAGAGCCCAAAATTGTTAAATATAGGCTACAGTAAGCCAAAATTAAGATGGGATGTAAACTCCCATGTCCTGGTATTGATTTTAAAAATACCTGCGTAGCTGAATTGATATGTACAGAGGATTTCTGTATCATACAAAAATTATTGTAGTCCAAGTGTAGTTAAGATTCAAGGTGAGATACACCAAATTGCTCACACACGATACTTCAATAGCTTTGTGGATCTTGACTTTATAGGGCTAGGAGCCAGATTCCACTTTACTCCTCTCAAACGTTTGGATTGCTCCATTACTCCCTTTTCTGAGCCTTTGAACATACAGAACTGTCAGTTTCTAGGCATCTCTGTGGCTGCTGTGCATTTTCTATGTCTTGTCTCAGGTGAGGATAGAATCCGTCTGCAAAGCTCAGGAGAAAAGCCCTTCTAAGTAAGTACTGCTTGCCTTCTGGCCCCCTCATTAGCCAGAGACACTCAACAGCCAATCTCTATCTGGCCCAGACATTAAGGATCCAATGAAAGCATTGACATCAACAAGTTTTCTTGTGGGAAGGCTGGGGTGGCCTCTCCTTTCTAGAGAAGAGGATGTAAAGAGAAACAGACATTGGATTGGCCATCCCTTCCCAGCTTCTGACAACTCGTGGGCCTCATCATGCCATGTTACACAGCAGCTTCCGTTTCCTCCGGACACGTTCCCTTAACATGCCCACAGTGCTGCTAAGTCTGAAGGTGCTGGTGAGCAGATGAGTATTTACACCTGCGAAATGGGTGGCCGTATCATCACTCTGGGTCACTTCCTTTCACAAACTTCTCCATGAAGAGCTCTGCAATCTGACCCCTCCCTTTCCTATTTCTAGAACACCTATGAAATGGCCTCCACCACCACTGTTCTCCTGAAATGTGATCCAAAGGACAGGTTGGTCGGTACTTTCTGGAAGAACTTCAGAGCTAAAAATGCAGTCTTTCAGGCTTTAAGTTAAAAGGGTACCTTGCTCAACTGCAACTCAAATAGGGCAGGAAATAGAATAGTAGTGAATCCCAAACAAATGCACTTCAGTGCCATCAGGAGGCCCATCCCACAAGCGCTATCTTTATGTTTGCATTGTTCTCCTTCCCCCAACCCCCTGCAGCTGGTAGACATGTTTAACTATTTCTCAAGTATTAGCCAACCCCACCGCCACAATAAATACAATGAGCAAATAAACAGAGGAGCAGACTTAATCCAATATAAATTTGTTTTTATTGCAGCAGCAGTCACATGACTTTATATCTAGCCTTTAGATTAGGCCTGACAGAGTGAGCCAGCCCTAAAAAAATGATGTTTCTTTTTGCACTAAGAGACGTAACATGTTTACATACATCATCCAGTATTGGAAATGAGCAGATTCAAACACAACATGTGTTGGTTACCTGGGAGGTACAGCCCCACGGTTTGTGGTGGTCATATATTTTACAGATACTCCCAAAGACCGTTACTAATGGGATGAAAGTTAAAAGAAAACACAGCTACACCAAACCATGAACACAGTAATCAAAGACAGCAGCTTATACACGTTTTAAAAAATTTGTCCCTTTCAAGGACATTTTCTTTCTTTTCAAAGCAGTGTCTGCAAAGCTTCCTCTACATCAAATCCAAAGGTTTCCAAGATGGAAGCTGCACCTCTTGGGGCTATACAATGGAGTAAGATCATTTAAAGAATGAGAACTGGTGTTCATATCTGGATTTCATAATAAAGATCCATGTTTCTCTAATTGGAGGAACGGAGATGGTGACGTGACTACATATTGCAGTAGCAAAATAGGGTAAAGAAAAGAGGGTTGGGTACTGAAATAAAGACCACACACTTGTGAATTTTAATTTCATTTCCAGGCTAACCTACTTTTTATTTAATGCAAATTACAGTACCAGTTAACTATTTCCAAACCAAGTCACATAGAACGAAATGTATTTACAAGGGAATGGGGGAAGGGAAAAAAAACATTGAGCATACTTTTCACAAAAAAGTTTATATTTAAAATGAAAAAAAAAAAATCAGTCACAGAGGCATTCAAGTAGTAATAATGTTATACAGATTTTGCTTTTCCTTTATATCAAGACAGATTTGCACAAGTGTTTGCAATAGTTTGTATACAACCCACAGTCCTTTATATATATATATATATATATATAATAAATTTTGTTTAGATTTGTTTTTAAGATGGAAGTGGTCACGCTAATTGGTATGTGTACAGGCCCAAGTGATCCATCGGCAACACATTTATAAATGCAAATTTTACAGGCAAGCACATTTTCATACATTTATCTGTATCTGCCTGTAGACAGATACAGTAAGAAAAAAAAACTTAAAAATGAACACAAGGAAGTCTACTTTGTCAAGCTAACCCCTTATGTACTGGTTGTCATTTTGCTTTTATTGCAGAGGTGCAAAACGGAGCAACAAACTTGGAATAAAACGTCGTAACCCTTGTGAAAATAATCCAAACCCCAGGGATTACTTTCAAAGCCTCTCAAACGTAGACCTTAGTCTGGGACTCTACTCTGCTTCTAGTTGTCGTATTTTCAGTGGCTCAGGTTTCTACCAGAATATTGTAAAGCATGCTTAGTTTATTTTTCTATGTAGGGGAGAAAGTGTTCAGCTCTGTGATTAGATGATCACTAACATGAACAATAGAAATCAGATACAATTTTGGTTTAAGACAAAGGAAAAAACCCCCAAACTCCTGGGGATCTGGCATTGGCCAAGCTTCCTTTGGAAGACTCCAAAGTTAAATCCCTTAAAAAGGAAAGGGAAAAAGAAATGATATGCCAGTGTCTTTATATCCACAGGGATAGAGAATACAATAGTCCTCTCAGAAACCTTTGTATTGGTGCAGACAATATGACTGGTTAGGCAGGCTTTGTTAAAACACAAAACAAAAATATGTGTCTAAAAATTAAGAGGACTTAAAAAACGGACACAACATGTCACTGGAAAGAAGGTGCAGTCTTCTGCCTTGCTGGAATGAACACACGATGTTTCAAAAATAGCAACCTTTGGTTTGGTAAAGTTTGTTTTTTTCTTCTACTCAAGACATCTTATATGGAGTACTTGGAGGCAAAACAAATGGTTTTGATTTTTTTCTTTCAAAAAAGGCCTTCATGATGGGCACACAGTAAGAATTAAACTTATTTTTAAAGAAGGAAATGAAAAGGACATTTCACTGAACAGGGGTCGAGGGGGCAGGAGGGAGGGGATGGGCTGAGATCCCTTGTTAACAAGACAGTCCTCTTGGCTCGGCACAGTAACCGCTAGTAACTGCACTAGAGCACTGTAGACCACTGATGGAGCAGAACCTGATACTATTAAGAAACTTGGATTTATAAAAACCAACTGTCTCTCTTTCATTTGGGAAGGAAGTGGATAAGGGGGAGAGAGCATGGAAGGCTCCTGGAATCTGCTGTTTGTAAGGCCGATGGTTGGGACTTGGGGAAGAGATGAGCAAACTCAAATCTATTCAGTCTCTTCCAGCTCTAGGGCTCCCTGGCACGACACGAAGTCCCTGGATGGACTAAGTATGAAATGAAGCCGGTCACTGCTACTGACTGAGGAGGAAACAGCTGCTCAGAACCAAAACAAAGGCAGGGCTTAAATGAAGTGAGGTCATGAACACAGTTTCCTCTTTCCACTCCTGAGCATGGTATCACTGAAATTAACTGTGGAAGGGGCAAAGACACTGTTAGGCGTGAGTTATTATTTCAAAGGGAAAGGGGTAGGACAGGGAGACACGGATAGAAAATCCAATTAAAATTTGAAAAATGAAAAACAAAACCAAAAAACAAACACATGGAAGCGAAGGCACTCCAAACTATATAGATACACTATACATTGCTAGAGTTATTGTTACAATAATACAGGCCGGTACCTACTGTACAGAGTTAAAACTATATGGCTTTAAAAAGCTCGTCTACATTTTGTCTGATTATTAAACAGAATCACTGCCCTGAACAGTAACTTTTTGCTCATTAATTAACAGTTCCTGGGTCCACATATTTACATACAAAACAATAAAACTTAAATTTAAAAACATTGAAAGAAAATATAATGTACAAGCTTGAATTTGGTGAGGAGCTTTTTATTATTATTATTATTATTATTATTTACAAAAAGATATTCAGAGACCTGGATCTCACTTGTATAAAAGAGTTCTGTGATACCGCCATGATCCTTGAGAAAG